GCCAGCAGTGTTTACAAAAAATAACTATTTTATTTTGTAGATAATATCTACAGGACTCTTTTGAAGACTATTAAGATAATTTTCAACATTATCCACATTGTCAAATTTAAGAGTTACAAGTTACCTATATATTATGATTGCAAACTAAAACACTAATTTACCATAATATACCAAAAAACTTTACTTGTAGCATTGGACGCGCGTTTCGCTAACAATGTTAGTATCATCAGCAGATGATTACACCAGTTTTAATCATCTGTACATGGATTGGGAAATATGTGGCTACAGTGTTAGCGAAACGTGTGTCCAGTGTTAAAAGTAAAGTGTTTTGGTGTATTGTGGTGAATTTGTGTTTTAACCCCAACCCCAAACTGTAATACATAATATTATTACTTTATCAATTATTGCTTGCATTTTAAATTTTAATAAATTTTGTGAAAGACATAAATTACTGCATATCTTTAAATATTTCTTCTTATATTCTTTTTTAACAAGATACAAATGATAGTAATTTTAATTATTGTATATTTTTTACGTTTAATGGTAGGACCAGATATGTTCGTATAAAAATCTGGAATTATTTTCTGACAAAAAATTAAAATAAAATAATGTTAACATATTTTGTCACACTTTTACATCAAAATTCTTGCAAATAATAATTACACTCATCGGCAAAAGTCTTGCACCCCCCAGATAAATTTATTTCTTTGCATAGCATATTGTTGTGGCCTATGTGTACAAATACCTTAATATGTGTCTACAAAAAATAGGTCATAAAAGCAATGAAAGAAAACTTTATCGATGGAATGTGTATGGTTTTGCTATTTGTGGTCAAATTTTGTTTCTCAGTTCGAGTTCAATCTTGTAGTAAGTGTTGTGAAAGGCATCTTGTCTGATAGTCAAGCAGCGTTAAAAGCGATCAACTCAGTATCAATCAATTCGAAATTGGTCAAAGAATGCATAGAGAAGCTGAATAAATTAGGCAAAAAAAACGAAGTCCTCCTACTCTGGGTGCCTGCTCACCAAGGGATAGAAGGCAATGAAAAAGCAAATAATCTAGCTAGGAAAGGAGCGAACACTCATAATACTCGTAATAGCGTATTGACATTTATAATATTTTAGTCTAATCTATACTGTATGTTTAAGAACACCCTTAAAATATAACTTGCAGTGTATAGTATTTTCATCAGCGCGCGTGACAGACTTTTTACTATATTCAGTCTATGGCAGAACGTACCACGTTTTAGTCACGTTTGGTAAAACGCACCAGCGTTTAGTCTCGCTCAATAAGAGCAGGGATAGTCATATGGACTAGATAATGGTACATGCTTAAATGCTAGAGAATCTGAATAAATTAGGCAAAGAAAACGAAGTCCTCCTACACTGGGTGCCTGCTCACCAAGGGATAGAAGGCAATGAAAAAGCAAATAATCTAGCTAGGAAAGGAGCGAACACTCCACTAACTGGACCAGAACCGTTCTGCTTTCCAAGTGGTAACCAACTCAAGGCGGAACTCACGAACTTGGAAGATTTCATCCGCAACCTGGAATGGAAATCTTGCAACGGTCTAAGACACTCGAAGAAGTTTCTGAGGGCTTATGATCAAGAAAAATCACAGATCTTCCTGGGTTTAAGTAAGAACAATCTTCGGATTGTCACGGGGTTTTTAACAGGACACTGTCTCCTCAATGAACACCTCAGTAGATTGAAACTAAGAAGAAACGGCGAATGCAGATTCTGTGGGGAAGATGGGGAAACACCAGTACAACTCATCACTGAGTGCGCCGAGACGACAACCATTCGTGCCATGAATTTTGGTACGACTGATATTGGGGATGGAGAACTACCCTCTATAAAACCGTCCCAGATACTGGCTTTTGTCAAAGCCCTGGGACTGTATTATGAGTTATGACTCAAGAAAGGGGAACACAATGGATCTGTAAGGTCGCAGTGATTAACCCCCCTCCCACTCATTCTAAATTCTAAATTCTAAAAAGTTGTGAAAGGCGGCAAAAATGCCAGGGCACGAAATTTCTGCCTTAGATAGGGCCCGAAATATCGCTTTGCATGAAGAAGATCTCAGCAGGCATCCAGTTGCTGATCGTTTAAATTTAGGTGCGGTAAATTAAATACGGACCTGCATTTTTCATTTCAGATTTTGAAAGAACTCGGTCTCCTGAGTACAATGATATGTCACACTTAATTTTTTTTTTGTTTCGGACATTTGAACATAATTTATTTAAACTAATTATTTCAAGTCCGGCTCTGTTTTTTAAAGAGTTAATCTATTCATCGTTACAATATTAATAAGCTTTTGAACTTAATAATGACGTGGGGTAAAACATTGAATACGGAAAATCAAATGCAATAACTAAAGGGGCGTTACTTGGCGCTTGGCGTAATTTGTAAAGGTGAATTCAATACATTTCAACATTTACAATAAAGAGTACAAAATGCATTCGGAACTATAACAAGAAGTTATGTTCAAAGGGCTATAAATAATATTGAACAAAAAATAAATTTGTGCATTATTGCGGGTGGCAACCCTTTCGAACATGTAGAGCATTAGAAACTAGTTTATAAAAGTTGACTTATTTATAATAACTACGATTAATATTATGAATATTATTAGATCGTATATTGAGATTCCAAATTCAAGTTAAAAATAATATCTTTAAATTGCTGACCTGGATATTATTTATTTGAATCTTTGAATTGGCTCGATTTTCATTATTCAATATTAATTAACACTGATCAATATTGTTGCGATGAATAAAATCAGATTAAATAATTTAAAAATCCAGAGTCGTACTTGAAATTATTTTAAATAATAATTAAATAATTTTGTTGTTGTTAAGGTACTCAAAACCAAAAAAATATCAAGTGTGGCATATTATTATACTCAGGAGACCGAGTTCTTTCAAAACCTGAAATAAAAAATGCAGGTCCGTATTTAAAAAATGAAGTTGGCCTCTGTATCTCACAAATTATCAGCTAATTTAAAAATCTAAAAGTACTATCAGATAGTCCTAATAAAGTGGCTATAAGCCGAATTATACAACGGTATATGGACATCGGAAATGTAAGATCTCGTCCTAGGTTGGGCCGTACAAGGGTAACGACTAAACGACAGGATCGCTACTTGGCTCAATTTGCCAGAAGAAATCGGTCAGTTCCAATTCGAGAGCTGCGATCTCAGTTTCAACGAAGTTACCACCGAGTGATATCAAGCCGAACCATTTCCAGGCGACTTTCTAATGCTGGATTGCGGCTTAGACGTCCACTGTGAGTCCCTCTATTAACTTTACACCATAGGCAAAGGAGGCTACAGTGGATTAGAGAACACCAGAACTGGTTATTACCTCAGTGGAGAAACGTAATTTTCACTGACGAACCCAGGATAGGTTTGATCAGTGATGACTATCGTCAGCGAGTGTGGAGGGAGGCAGGGAGGCAGCATCGCTTGAATACAGCCCTTGCTATTGCTCCTTATCAAGGAGGAACTGATATGTTTTGGGGTGGCATCACGTACAATAGGCGAACAGAGGTCGTTCGTATTCCTGAGGTGATGAACGCCCATTTGTATGTGGAAACTGTAATCAGACCAATAATTTATCCAGAGAAGAAATCGGCAATAATTTTATTCTCATGGATGATAACGCTCGTCCGCACAGAGCTAGGATGGTCCAGGAATCATTAAATGAAGGGGAAATAACTCGTTTGGACTGGCATCCACTCTCCCCCGACATGAATCCTATTGAACATGTTTGGGACTACATCACCAGAGCTGTATTTCGCAGAAATAACCAACCAAGAAATCGCCAGTGTTTGATCATTGCCGCTCAAGAGGAATGGCAGAACTTACCTCAAGAAACCATAAACAACCTTATAGTGGGGATGCCCCGACGACTTGATGCACTCATAACAAATCGAGAAGGCAATACTTTATATTAGTAACCTTAATTTTGTCATAATTTATTATTTATTTATTTATTTCCTCTTTTTTGTCAAACATTTTTCATTTTTTTGTATTTTGGCAAAATATATTATTAAACTTGGTGAAAGTTTTCCCTTTTTTGTGTTATTTTTAACATAACTTTAGCATCTATTGATTTCCACGAAAAATTAGTTTGAAATGTATTTTTTTATTAAAATAGTAAGAGGGTGCAAGACTTTTGCCGATGAGTGTTTTAACAATACACCTTTATTGGTCACTATTATTAAATCACGCGTTTTTAAACTTCATTATTGTATGTAAACCTTCGAACAAGATGAATTGTTTACCTTTGTCTATGTATACGAATTCAACACTTATTGTACGCCTACAATTATTATTAAATGATTATCATCGAACAAATATGTCTGAGTCACTGAATTTTTTATTCATCGTGTGACTTATTTTCCTTTTGTCATAGAAACCACAAGAAAATGTGAAAATTCTTAGATATATGTCAGGAGAGAATAAAATTTCAGTTTCGAAAATTATAAATTCAATTAAAAGAAAATTGTAAATATTAAAAAAGTGTAGCAAGTTTAATATCACAGATAACATATGGTACCTGTGATAATATGAATGAAAAATATGTTCAATCAAGGCTATTAAGAGTGCATTTTAAAATAAATCAGTAAAAGTGCATAGTAAATACGTTATATAACAAGCGTACAAAAACACGTTGTGAAACATATTATGAAGCTAAAACATAGAACTCTTTATGGAATTTTTATAAACGAGGACAAGGTTACTATTTTCATTGCAAAACATAACCGTAGGTGGGTAAACATGCAGCAAGATTATTTCATTCCAATATTTTTCATTTGGTTTCAATCTTATTTAATTTAAAACAAAAATTAATTATTTAATATAGTATTTTAGTTGGCACTGTAATGTTAAACTGGTCTAAATATAATAAAAAGCTTTTAAGATTCCTTAAAAATAGTACGGTATTTGTTAAAAACAATAACAATTAAATGTGTTTCCTGGCGCATTCGCCATTACTTACCGCCATGAGCATGTAGTAAGACTCTCTGATAGCTCCGTAACATCCTAGAGAAGCTACCAGGAACACTATACATCCTGCAACGATAAGAACCACTGGGGGAGCCAATACCTGCCCTTCCATAAAATGTCTGAATTCACCGACATCGGAAAGGACTAAAGCTCCAGCAATTATTATTCCAATTCCAGATATCTAAAATATTTAAAAAAATTGAAAAAGCAGGATAATAATTTTTTAAAGGATCATTGAAGTCAAGGGAAACTTATGACTATGACAATAAGTATGTTCTTTAAAATAATTTTTAAGCCAAGGGTGAAAATTATTAAAAGTTGACAGACTAAAAGAATGTTTGAATATAATTTAGAGTTTAAAAAATTAATTTTTAATATCTGTTATGGTAATAACAAAAACTATAGTTACCTAATATTTAGAAAAAAAACTCTTTTATTTTCCAGTTAAGTATGACCATTAAATATAAAAATAATGACGTTATATCGGGTGACAACTAAATCGTTGGGCAAACTCAATTCTGTTGTTTTTATGAAATAATTTTGAAAATTGAGTTCAATATACCGTATGATCGAAAAAAAATGGCGTCCAGTTGGCTGGGAAATGACGATCGATGACATTTCCCATATAAATTTACATATAAAATGACAGCGATCTTCATTTCATAGCCATCGTTGACGCCGTTTTTTCTCGATCATACGGTACTATTCCATCAAAAATCAAGAAAAATGTCATTAAAACTGTAATAATTGGGAATCACTTCCGGTTTTAAGGTTCATCTACACAGGTCAGTCACGTCTCAGTCTCACTTAACATATTTGACTGCTATTCAGACATATCAGTCAAAAATTGCCCTTCGATTGAGATAGCTGGAATGGGTTTTACTGAAAATTTTACTGCAAAAGTATAAGATAAGATAACATTTAAAATTATTAGTTCCCTTTCGGTTAAACCGGAAGATTGAATAACATTTGTTTGGTCACCCGGTTTATTAAAATAACTATATATTATTTATTAAACCAGGAAACATAAATTATTCTTCTTTATGCAATTTTTTGTTAAATCTGAAGTTATCATAAGTAAAAATTTAACTATGTATAATAATAGCACATTAAAAATAGAAAACCAGCACATTTAGAATAGAAAGAAGTACGCAAATTTTTTTAATGCAATATGCATTATTAACCGTTATAAAGAAAAATTAAATAAAATATATTTCCACCAAATTGTCAATAATAATATTGTTTTATATAAATTTTGTAAAAAGTAGAAATATAGACTCTTCAATAAGATGATATATGATAGTGACAGTTGTGTCTCTGTATTATAAATATATATGATTATTATAATGCACACGTAAATTGTATTTTCTGTATTTTTTTTCTCATTTTTATAGAAGCAGTTAATATTGGGTGCGTCTCGAAAGTGGCTCAACCCTATAACTTTTTTATTTTTTTTTAACGGAAAACGAGATTCGGTATGTCAGTAAATGACATAAATTCGGATTGATTGACGTATTCAATTATTTTTGGGCACTTCTTGTTTCACCGGAAATAACTATAACTTTTGATTTTTAAATGGCACCGTCGGCATATTTCTACATTATTCGATAGAAAATGACACTCTGAATAGAATGACATATCATATATGCCATTTCAGTTTAAAAAAAATCGTATTTTAAATTTCAATCTGGAGTGCCATGGCTATATTAAAAACTTTAATTTTTAATAAAGGAGCCTTGGAAAAATATATTTGATCGTCTAAAGTTTTCCATGTCCTGTCCTGGCTAGTTAAGAGATACCCAAACCGTATTTTTAATCATATCTCAATTTTTTCAAACGTAACGGGGGTGGCTTATTAGCATATTTGAAAAAAGCACTTTTTACGAATAGTTTGGTACTGCACACTTGGTATTTCGTGTCAAATTGTTGTATGAACCGCATGTTACAATTTCAAATAAACCATATGCGAAAACGTCAAAAGTTGACATATATATTATAATATATCCATAGATAAAAGAAAATAATCTACTATTAAGATAGATATGAAACTTATAGTAAAATTTTGGGTCAAAGCGCCCCTCCGTGTTTTTAGTAGAGACTACGTTTAACCCAGCGCCTTCGCCTTTTCTGCTGTAAATGTTTTTTATGTTTATATTTGAATTCAAAGGATTTATTTTTAAAGTTACACTGATATATTACTATATCAGAGTAACTTTAATAAAAACATAAGAATATATATATATATATATATATATATATATATATATATATATATATATATATATATATATATATATATATATATATATATATATATATATATTTTACAGTTTATTTTTTTATTTAGTTTACAGAGTTTCATGTAAAATGATCATAAGTCGACTGGCTGTCTAATGAATAAACCGAGATTTATAGATTTTAAAGCGAACGAAAAAAAAATCAAACAACGAATACATACCATATATTTTTCTTTTATCTAAGATCCAAACCAAACCTTATCGTCTTTTGGAAACACGTGCATTTTTGCAGTTTTGTTAGTTTCTTTGCAAGATGCAACACAACAAGAAAACACCATTTTTACAGTTAACAAATGATAAAACTATTTCTGACTATGACATTTAAAATTTAGATAGATAGTAAATTAAAAAACAAACCGATATTTGCAGACGCAAGCCCAAATTCAATAATAATCAGAACTTTTCCTGCGAAAACCAGGCTTATTTCACTGAAAAGGTATATTTTCAAAGTATATTTTGATTTATCAGCAATCATTGTCAAGTTGACAATATACAGGATATTTTCTAATTAGTTTAAAAAAATTGTGGTGTGATTGCTTATGTGTTCTTAAAACAATTTTTATATAACCATTGGGTCTAAAGTACGTCCTTTCTGATCTACAGGGTGTTAAAAATTTAAAAAAAATCGATTTTTTTGCTTAACATAAATGGTACACCACTGCTTTTTTTAAAGGAAATATATTTTTTTCTTGACAGGCCTTCCTTTTTCAACAAAATTGATCTTTTGAGTTTTTCTTGTTCATCAAAGGGTTGTCGAGAAAAAAACAAATATACTTATTAAGAGCCCGTCTTAATTCGTTTTCTAACGATTTTTTATTTTTTAGATTAATTAGGAAACACCCTGTATATGCATATCACAGGCAACCAAATAAACTAGTAACCTCTAAAAATACCTTTCACTACTATCTACTACTACTTCACCATATAAGTTTCCAGGCAATGAATATATCATTCTACTCAGAATATCATTTTCTATCGAATAAAGTAGAAATATACCGAAGGTGCCATTTAAAAATCAAAAGTTGTAGTTATTTCCCGTGAAACAGAAAGTGAACAAAAGCAATTGAATACCGAATACGTCAATCAATCCTAATTTATGTTTTGTGCTCGTTTTTCGTGTCTGCGAGTGTAGTTAGGTGAGTGTGTTTAGGTATACCACTGTGGGACTGAGTAACTGTGCCTTTTCGATAGGTTACAAAAGAACCGAGATACGAAGAGGTTCAAAAAATGCAACATTTTGAAATTCGCCCTGTATTTCAGGAAGTAAAAGAGCTAGGACAAATCTGTGTAGCAACTTTAGTTTTGTAAAAAATTAGCACAGTGATGTGAAAGCCGCATCTTTGTGTGTCTACTCATAAACGAGAAACGCCGAAAAACACACGAAAATACTAGGACACCCTATATTTCTGAAATAGATTATGTTAAATAAAAACTTTATCTTAGAAAACTCATGACATTTTTTCATAAGAAATTTTCTTTAAAATATCAGGTGGATTATTGAATTATTATATTACCTAAAACATTTATTTCTAATGAGTCATAATTTCTTTATTTCCTCGAAGTGCGGCTTATAAAAATATAACAAATAAAAGATAAACCCTTTTTTCCATAGCAACTATTAAAATAAGGCTAAAATTGCCTTATATCTATCAAAAATAGTAGATAAAATAGTATTTTAACCGCAATAGTACTTTAACCGCATTTTTATATTCCTTTTCATAAGTTCATAAGTTATTCGGGATTTAAATGGAAGTAGTTTGGATATGGCGTTTGTCGCCTCAGCCTGAATATCTGTTGGTAATTTATAGTAGTGGGAACTATCGAATGAATACTATCGAAACATTCGATAGTTGCAATTTATTCGAATAATTCGATAGCTAGTAAGAAAACATTCGTTGAAAACTATTCGAATAAAAATTATCGAATAGATGCGTCATCTGCCTTGAAATATTGTATTCTAGTAATTCGGCAGCAAAAACCATTCATTTATAAAATTCATTTATTCGTCAGGATCGATTATAATAAAATATTAACTGGATTTTAGTTGTCGCCCGGCGATGTAGGTTTCTTTCCGAGAAACCCGACAGCGGTCGGTGGCAATGCTATGAAAGAAGCCGGCATCTTTGATTTTTTGCGGAGTAAAGATAAGGACACATTATTTTTTTTATTGAGGTGCTGGTATTTACACAGAAAAATACATTATGAAGGGCGCTGTTGCAATATATTGATATTAGTTGATATTAGCAAAGAATATTATTTTTTGGTTTTAGTTAGTTAGGGATTGTATGTCTATATACATATTTTGCATTTTTTTTATTAATATTCTGTTGTTACACTGCAATAATACTTTTTATTTTGGATGTAGGAAAATTATTTTTAATATTTTTAAGCAAAGACTGGTTTATTAAAAAAAAATAATAATAACAGTAATAAATAAAATTGTTGAACCTATTAACAACAAAATTTAAAATCATTTAATATAATGTTTTTTTTAAGTATTAGCAAAATATAAACAACAAATTAAAAGTCAAAATTATTTATATTAGATACTATTTAAAAATAATAGTCTCTAAATTTTTTGGCAACGTTGGTTTATTAAATAATAATAATTACAGAACTAATTTGTTATATTAACAACAAATTTTAAAGTCATGAAATATAAACATTTATTAATTTTGTAAGCGTGCAGTGTAATGGAAGGAAAACATAAATAAAAAATTAGAAATCAAAATTATTTATATTAGGTACTTTAAATTGCTATTTAAAAATAATATTTACTTTTACTGGCATTTACTTTAAAAAATAAGTAAAATATTTCTTCGCAAAAAACTACATGTAAGAGAATTAGCATAAACAAAATACAAACATCGTTAACTTTTTTTTTTTAAATTGGCACGGGTAAAACTTTTAACAATTTAATTTTCTCACACCATAGTTAGAGTTCGATAACCACATTTACTTAACCACATTACTTAAATATGATTATTAAGTTCCAACTAATTCATATTATTAAAACATCTAAAATACAAATATGTATTTTTAAAATTAATTGTAAGTTCATCTCATCTCTCTTAAAAATTGCTACTTCTCAAAATTTCCCATTAAAAAATAGACTATATACCATATAAAATTAAATAATTGAAAGATCGGACTACGGAAAATCACACAAATTTACGGAAAAATTTTGACCACCTGCACACGCACACAATCGTCAATTAAAAAAAACTATTATTTTGGTATTTTTAATATTTTAATAAACGCAAAAATACCACAGTATTTATAAGGCGAAGTTATAAAAATTTGGAAGAACTAATAATGCACTGACTCATACAAAAATCAAACGAATACTAAATTTCATTTATCAAAAGCATTCGATAGTCGTGGCTCAACGATAACCATTTAGTCGCACGGCGAGGTTGTCACATATGCTTTAGTATACAAATGAATGAATGATTTTATTCGAATAAAACCATTCGATAGTTGAAATCATTCATTCAGTAACCATTCGATAGTCTAATTCATTCGATAGTTCCCATCGCTAGTAATTTACTTATTTCGTTTTTAGTCATTTCTTGCCCCAATTCAATCAGCAATCGACACGAAAGAGAATTAAAAAATATTGACTTAAAACTGACAACTAAAGAGACAGTTTTATTTATTCGTCAAATTACATAGAAACCAATGCCAACCCAGCACAATATTTTTTCTACTCGTAATAAATTCCTTGAAATAATAATTTCTAAATATTTTTTAAAATGTAACTCGCTATGAAAAAAAAACATTGTTTTATACACGACGATAACATTGCATTATCGTCTCCCAAAATTAATTCACTCGCGATTTCATCGCTCGGGAATTAATCTTTTCGGTCGACGATAAAATACCATTTTATCGTCTTGTATAAAAAATAACTATATTATGACTTATAACAAAAGCAATGTAACAATTAAAGTTAATTCTCTTTTATAACTGCTTGGACTTAACTTGGAAAAAACTAATTAAAATATTTTTCAAATTAATACTTACTGCAAACAATAAATTAAATCCGAACAATAAGTATTTAATAACATTCAATTCGCAGGTTCTCATTTTGAAGTCGTCCAACATTAGAGAACAGGTGGAAAATGTGAAAACGATGCGTGTTGCCCTTTAAGTCGCGACTGGCTGACCACTGCCCAGTTAAGGGTTTAAGAAAACTCTCGTACTCTCCGAAAGTTTCTCGGGGAGTTATTGCCTTACGCAGGCTAATATTTTATTTATTGGATAATTAAGGAATCTTGTGTCGGAAATTTTATATATGTAAACAAAGGAAATGGTAAAATTGGAGGTAAATATAAGGAAATCGATTTACGTGTGGAAATTGGAAATAGTAACTTTAACATTGACATTTAGAATAACCGAAATTACTAATAGATTAAGACACATTTATATCACAATTCAGATTTGAATGTTTGATGCTATAAGAGAAAATTACATAAAATAACCGCAATGTATTTTTTATTTATTAATAAATAAAAAATACATTTTACGTTTACTTAATTTAATTTTTTATTCTTGGTAAAAGTCTGTGTATTATACAACGCCAAATAAACTAGTCAATACAGTTTTAACAGTTTTTAGGGTTCCGTACCCAAAGGGTAAAAACGGGAATCCCTATTACCCTTGTATAAAGGCTATTACTAAGACTTCGCTGTCCGTCCGTCTGTCACAAAGCTCTATCTTATGAACCGTTATAACTAGACAGTTGAAATTTTTACAGATAATGTATCTATGTTACAGCTATAAGAACAAATACTAAAAACAGAATTAAATAAATGTTTATAAATAAAAAAGTACTTTCACTAAACATTATCTTTTAAGTAAGAATTTTACATAGAATCTTTCAAGTCCTCTGTAGCCGCGTTTGGTTTAAAGCATTAGGACTTTACGCTGCTATGACGTTGGAGCCGTAGTAAGGCAGGTTCGAATACTAGTCAAGGCGACTTTTTTTTAATCGTTTTTTTTCGTTTTTACATATTTATTTTTACTTTTTACATATTTATTATTGATTAATACAATTTTTAGTAATGCGTTTCTTAATTTTTTTAAAATTACTTATACGCGCATTCAAAATTTCAGCTAAATCGGAAAAAAAAGTTTATAATAATATAGTGTCTAATGTTGTATAGATAATGAATGGTACGGAACCCTTCGTGCGCGAGTCCGACACTTGACCAATTTTTTAATCTATATTTCTTACAAGCCTGTACTTAATACATATGGATGTTATACTCATATGCCGAATTTACCTATTGGCCGAAATACATATTTAGTTCGCAATTGTACTTTTGCCTTTTTAACGCATGTGCATTGGCATTTCTATTTTTCTTAATTAATACTATCTGGGCAATAAGTTTTCTCAAATCAAATAAAATATAATAAATGTCAAAAACCACCCCAAACCGGTATAACAAAAATGTTCGATAGTTTGACGGATCAGCTTGCTGAATATTATCTACGTCTTCGATGCCACTTAAATTATTATCTAATATCTCTGCATCAAATGTTAAATACGTCCAGTTATCATAGTTCGTTCAGTCAGTATTATAGTTACCATCCCTTGTATCTCCATTTACATTTGTATTTACATATCATATAATTATTTTCAGTAATTACAATTGTTGTTTTTCTCACCCTGTATGTACTTTTTTGACAAACTGTGTTTACTAAAAAAATTAACTAATCAATCTGCATCGATTCACGCCCAAAAATCTTTCAAATCGGAATAAGTGAAAAAAGCTCGATTTTGGTCGGGAATTTTTTTTGGAAATTATGATTATTTCAACTTTTTTTAGTATCTACCAAACCCTTCAATTCTAAGAAACCATTTATGCACTGTCGGATAGACGACTGATTACGCCCTCCCATGGTGTAGGTATTTTTCGTGTCTTAGATGTTCATAAGGACTCGTAGAAAACGATTTAAAATTTAAATTTTGCAAAAATCGAAAAACGTGGGTTATATCTCGGAAACTGTAAGTTGCTAAACGACCAGTGAGGACGCTACGGATATAGAACTAGTGGATCCCTATAATCGCCTTATTTAAACCGTGTTTTTTAAACCGAAAATTTTCAAAAAATGTCCGACCAAAATCGAACTTATTCCAATTTGAATGGTTTGCTGGTCATGTGCAGCCTCTGGGTAATCCTGGTCCAGCTATAGCGACAAAGTGATGCCGGCAAGGCGTCTCTGCTTGCCTCTCGGTGGTGGACGATTTTCCGTGCGGGATTATTTCTCTCCTTGCCGGAGCAGGAGTGAAAAAATGATCTCACTCCTTGTCTTGTCCTTTGGTGAAGATGTGCCAGGGTCTTTCTAGGTTCCTTTACCATTCCATTTTTCGGGGAGTGTTTTGACTATTGTTTCCTCTGGTGCAAGTTCTTGGTGGAGCAGACGGAGGTATCTATATACTTCTGCTCCTCTAAGACTTACTCTCAGTGGATCGTCTAGCCCGCCTGTTTGATCCTGGCCGGGTAGAGATGGTAGTTTGTTTCGCTTATTGGGTCTAGAGGTGGGCTTCCGACTTTTGCTAGAGGAGGTGGTAGCTTGTGTCTCTTGTGGACGCTGATCTCACGCAAGTGTCAGCCAACTGTAGTTCCCTAGGATTGGTCTCTTGGAACTTATACTGATAATGTTCCCATTGCTGTTAGGGTTTTTTTCTACAGCTTCACAGGTGGTGTTTTTTATAGTTGATCTCATAGTGATCCCACAAGTCGCTAGGGTTAGTCGGTCTATTTCTATAGATCCCCGTCTCATAGAAGTAAGAAGTAAACACAACTGTTAGATCTGGTCCCGCTCTCGTAAGCTTTAAGTTTTTGGTGAGGTTGTCGCTTCTTGTTTCGGACGATTAAGCCAAGACCACTTCACACCCTCTACCCGTGAGACATAAAATCAGGGAAATTCTTGGATACGAAGTTAAAATTTGAAAGAACAAATCACGTTTATACTTTTGGAAACATTTGGAAGTATGCCCATATTATTATCCAAAAAAACATATTTTGCTGGATAATAAATCATTTAAACTAAAAAAATTAAAAAAGTAGCTATATCTCCCTATTTTTTATGTTACTCTGTCGCTTTACTTTATGTCGCTCGTTTAAAGTAGTTAATATTCGGCGATGAAAGTTTCTATAGAATAAAAAAAAATCGTGTAGGAAGTATCACAATAACATCTATTTATAAAAGTTACAATTATAGAGCCTATTTCCCAAGCATTAAACTATTTTTTTCAGAAATTGGGCATTTTAGTAACTTTGCCCATCGCTCGTTTACTCTAATAATTTTTAATCATTTAAAATTTTATTAGCATATTGATCCTTCCAGTAAGTATTTTTTCATACACAATAAAATTACCAAACTACTGAATTCAATAAATCCGACTGTTAAGAATTTAATATTATCTTTTTTTGTCACCTTAATGAGTAGCTTGTAGAAGTTTGGATTGCCCTCTAGACATCTAGATCTTTTACATTTCAATTAACCATACAGGATAGATCAGGCCATCATTTATGTAGAATGAAGTAGAATAGTAATAAGTATATTATTAGTAATTTATAGTAATATATTCAGGTATCTGAATATATTACTATAAATTATCATCAATGGACTATCTTCAATGGACTATCACATAAAATCATCGATGAAGTCCATTAAAGTCATTATGATTCGAACCGCAATTACCTCTTTAATCTTCCATACTTTTAGGACTTGTTTATTATTTCTCTTTTTTGGTGTATATTGAATGTACCTCTATGAATATTTCCAGGATTTGAGATATTAATTAGGTAAGCGATCTTTACTTCTAGCAATCTACCGTCCTGTTATAACTCCCACATTAGAAATTTAAAAAAGGCGTCCATTCCTTTTAAAGAGACCTGGTTTATAAATCCAAAAGAAGCAAAAAAGACTTTGAGTATTTCTACTTTTTTTGGATTCACACATTAGAGTAGTATATTATATACATTAGAGTAGTATATATTTCGTATGAGAAGCACACTAACACTAAACAAACTTAAAACAAATCAATCTGTATAAAAGCAAAACACTAAAACTATGTATAAGTACAAAAATAAAATAAAAACTTATATAGAGGACATAACAGACACAAATTTGTATTATACAAAGGTTGTCAGGGTAAAAGATTATGACGAACATTAAACAATAAAATAGATTAATGTCTAGGCCATTTATCTAGTCGATTGCTGATGGAGAGGCTGAATGTAGCTCCTCGAGGCTTCCATGGAAAGCTCTAATTGGGCATTCATTTAGAATGTGGTCCATTATTGTTTGCCTTGGAGTACCGCAATCGCAATCGGATGAGTACTCAATTCTCCACTAGATGTCGCGACTCGCGACAGATGTCATTCAGAGTAGGTCATGGTAGATACCATGACCTACTCTGAATCGGTTTAAACGGCTCCAGCTCTGGCGATGGAGGCCCATGGTTTAAAAAACAAGCGATTCTGAGGCTTCCGTAATTATGTCCATATTTCGCATTTGGTGATTGGTGGCAAAAGTCTCATTCCATTTGGAGTCCACTCAGTTCATGTGTCTCCGGTCCATCCAGATATGAAACCGAGATTTTAGACGGTTTGGGGGAAGATGGTTTAAAGTATTATGGATGGGTAAACTCGTATGGGTATTGATTTTAACCTCCCACTCTTTATGGTCTGCTGCTGTTCTGCGGATTTGAGGAGGCGCATTATTAGATAGTACTAGAAGCCAAGCAATTGGGGTTGATTTTAGAATTCCCTTAAAGATCACAATTAGATTAGTAATAAAATCGATAAAAACGCATATTTTCAAATCTGTAGGTATCCCTAAAATCCGATCATATGGCCAAGCTGTCAGAGATAACCCATAATCCTCTACGTTTAGCAAAACCGAGTTCATCCCCACTCCCGCAATTTTTTTTAATTATTGAACTCTAGGGTTTTAATGTGATTTATGAATGACTAAACGTCTAAGAGCATATATGTGACATAATCTAAAGCTGTGGTCCAATAAATCTCAACAACGCACATTTTAAACAACAACCCATTTTCGAGCCAACTCTGACGCCGTTTTTTCCGATTGTACGGTATTTACCTATGTTATATACTTCTTTAACCATTATCAAGGTAT